AAAGAAGGGATAGCCTTTACATACCTGAGCCGATTCTCTTGACAATCCCACTAACACACGTCACTTACGACAACACATAACAGCAGATCGAAGTAGGGAAAAATCCATATGATATTCTTGAGAGAGATTGCACCTCTTTGCCGTGACCACTAGTAAGATAACAATCACCTTATTAATTGTTGTATGTATGAGATGTACGTTTGAACCTTATAAAATAGTGAAAGATACTCATAAATGATTATGCCACATCTAACTTCGTACTTTATTCTCACTATTTCCATCGCATGAAAGCAGTCATACTCTCGACATGAATATATTTTGTCATGTGGATTGACTTTTGCATCCTTGTCTCGTCCCAGGACACTAAACTCATTAAGTTGTCCATTTAAGTCATAGACCATCAAGGAATTTCCTTTCTCCATATTTTTTTTTTCACGGCAGCCCCCTCCATAAACTTTTTTTTCTTTGAATTGTGTCTAATAATCTCTTTATCTTGGAGATTTGTGGGCCCCACACTTTGTGGATGAGTTGGCCAACTATTATTCTAAATGTGCCACCTATATGTGGACTTTAAAAGTCACATTTTTGTGACTTTGATGGCTTTGATGTGCAACCACGTTGGTGGATGCAATTCTTATCCAATATATCCCGAATTAATTAGGTAATGTCCCGTTACTCGGTAATTAACCAATTACCTGCATAATTAAGAATTATCTCAACTTACTTAAAATACTACTCGCTTTTAACATACCTTGTACACCTTACTATCATGGTCATGTAGTACCTTGTATGGCATTAGTCCATAAATATGGGGCATTAACGCTCGGCTATTTTATCCCAATATGCCAAACCTGGACGAAAAATTCATCTTCTTTGACTTGCTTCCCCTCTCACCTTCACGAATTTATTCATCATTTGTTTAAAATAGCATAATCCTTATAATGTCCAAATAATCTTTTTCCATGGACTAATGTCAATTACCTTACGATAATTTCAACGTACAACACTACAGGGTGCAACATCGTCGTAATTTAATACTGCGGGACGTAATATCGACGTAATATTGCGGGGCGTATTATCGACGTAATATTGCGGGGCGTATTCCCCCCTTTGGAACATTCATCCTCGAATGTTGACTGATGCTCTTATCATTCTCATAACCCATAGCTCTTGCGAATTCCTTAATACTCTTCTTGCCATTTAGGAAACTGTGCTTTGAATAAATCCAAAGGTCAAGGCATTCCCCCTTTAGGCCTCTTTCTCACACCATGACTTGTGGTCGAAATCTGTTGATATCTTCCGTCATGCAGCATGTGCAACATTTTCCTTGTATGTGTGCCTATGCGACTCTTCTCTTTAGCTTTTAGCCAATCTCTAGGCTTTACTTTTGGGAACATATACAGAACTTGACAAGATGTCCCTCTAGCATATATAGGTGTATTGAAGTTCTTTGCTCGGTACTTTGTCGAATTTACGAATATTGCTTTTTCCTTACCGTTCATCTTAAGAATGTTTGCCTAATCTTATCTCACACTCTATAACTTTTATCCATCTATTATTGATTCACCTCAATGTTGATCTGCAATCCACTGCAGATAACTTGAAACCTCTTACGTAATACATTGTCACTAAGGCTTATGTCTTGTCGGGGGATATTTGAAGTGATTAGACTGATCTACCTGGGGTGATACTATACTTCCATAACCGTATTTCATAGTATCCAACTGTGATTCATCCTTTAGGGGTATTTAGTCCCTTACAATTCCTGAAATCCTCTCCCCCCCTCCCTTTTTTTTTCAAATCATTACTCAAGGGAAGGCCCAAACGTCATCCTTTATTTATCATAATTACACCCTCATTCTGCTAGGTTCTCAACCACGATTTTTATAATTTTCTGGTCCAATAATCACTCTCTTGATTTACTTAGTTGATGTAACTATTTAGTTTCATTTCCCTCTGATCAACCTTTATGTAGGCTTAAGCTATCTTCCGATCTGCGGCTCATGGCATTAGTTATTGCCTTAGCCTTTTATGGACGCTATGGAATATCCATGATACAATCTTCTAATGATTCAATCCTTTGTCTATGACCTGGACTCAATTCCATCTTTTAACTTATACCGGAGTCTTCTATGGCTGTATGATTGTCAACATATATGCTGCATGGATAATATTCCGGAATCTTATGTGCGTTCATAACGTACTCTAGCTCATTAATCGAATAATTCTTTTCGTTCCTTCTCAGATCTTTTTTTTTAAACGCAAGCCATTACTTTTTCGGGTCTTTCTGCCCCCTTGTTGCGTGCATACTTAGCTTATCTTAGTTCCCACGCACGTTGGAATTCCATACCACTCATATGATCTTGAATATTACTTCTGATTCTTACTTTCCATTTATTAGCCACGGTAGGTGCCACTTTCTTAGGGAGTACATACAATGTTGTTGTGAGGTTGTTATTATAAGTCCATTTGCTCCTTAGGTTACCGAGCTTAGATCGAAGCTTTCTTCCTCACTTCCTCAGCTAGTCTTTCATTGTAGTATTTAAGGAGGACCCTCTGACTCTTGTAAAGCGATGAGCTTATTACATCGTATACTCAACGAAATTTTTTATGTCCTTTCTCGCCTATACTTATCCATGGTTAGTTACCTCCACGCGCTTGTTCTTGTAGGGTTGCTTCTGCTTGATATTTTGACCATCTTCCCATTGGCACTCTCTTTTATTTCCGCAACACTCATATGGTACCTTTAATTACCCCGATTCCTATCTGAATATTTCTCAAGTATTACAATGTCATAACTACTCGTTGTCCCATTCTCATATCAATACTCCGCATAATGTTTCTTGGGTTATTTCCTTTGTCTTAACTTACATCTTGCTTTGGCTCTTTATTTATCAATAACATCTCGGGTAGGAACCCTTACTTCCTTTCTTTGGCGTAGTGTCTGCATAATGTTCTGGAATCATAGCATATGTGCAGGATTTGAATAAGTGCAATTTCATCCCTTTCTCATTTTTTTTTTTTTTTGCAGTCTTCCTTTACCATTCCATAATTACTAGAACCACTTAATTCTGACTTAATGCCACATCACTCCATATCCCCCCCCCCCTTTAGGGGAGCACTAAGATTTAGTGCTACGATGATCTACGTATAGATGTTTTACTTCTTCATCTTTGGCATCTTTTCACATCGTCGATGACGTTTACTCGCCTCGCGGTAATTCTTTTGTACTAAGGATAACAAAATTCCTTACTCGCGAGGGTGATACTTAGTTTAACTGGCACATACAGTCCCTTAAGCTTAAATTTGCTTACATGGCTTGCTTTAGAGAAGCGTCTTCCTGAATGACCATCCTCTGAATTTCTCATGAATTTTCTTCAATTATCGCCGGAACGAAATCTAAAATTCCCATGATGTCGGCCATTATCAAATCATTCAGTCCCTAATTCATGTTTAGTTTATCTTGTTCTCCAGCCCATACCGATTTCTATTACTCTGGGGTTTAACTCTCCCTTCTGATAGTCGCGTTGGAGTCACTAACTTATTTCTCAAAATGAGGATATGACTTTATGGCTTATACTCTTTTGTTTTCTTGAGGCCTATCACCTCTCGTCTCTTCCTTCACCTAACTATGGACCCGGTAATACCGTCATCTTTTTGATCTACCCTTGTCATCCATGTATCGCATTTTACTCATAATTCTTCCTTATCTCTCTTCTCATTACTCTGCTAATATTTCTGTCTATTCCTTTCTTATGAAAACTTCAGCAAAGCATTCTTTTGGTTTTTGCTTCCCTTGCTTCATCCATTGGCTCTTCGGGTTGCTCAACGCCCTTGCTCTACTAGGGACAAAAGTGACACTAAGGTAATATTTATCCCTTTCAGGCTTTCAGTGCCTATCTTCTGATTTTTTTTTTTATCATGCTAGTATTCATATCTAATTGTAATATTATAGAGTGCACCATCTGGTTATCTCGCAAGAAGATCTATTAGCACATTTGTAATACCCTTCGAAAATGTCAACTAACACAAACAATCCATTCACCATTTTGGGCTACTCTAACCTTAGCCGGATCGTGATGTTTCGTCCTTTTCTTAAACTACACCTGTTAGCCCCCATAGGGAATAACTGAGATGGGTACGGCCAATTGTAAATACCTCTGTTACTGTTGAATATAACTCAAAAAACTTATATTCCTCTGCCTAAATTATAAACACCGTTAACCTTCATCAACTGGGCGCCTCGTACTCTTCTTCATCTTACTTCTTTTGCTTGTTGAAACTTGTATTTATCTTCTAAATCTCTCATTGTATTTCACCATTAAGGTGGATAGGTATTCTTGCCTCAAGACTCCTTATCAAGAGGCTTACACCTTTCAGTACGCACATGATCTGCTGAAGACTCCACATTTACTTATCATAAGCATGATGCAAAGTCGAGTTCCTCTGACTCAACTCTTCCATAGCCATGTCTTTTACTAACCGTCTTTCTGGATGTAGGTATCGTCTTATTACGAATAAAATAGAAGTTAGGAATTTGAATTCTTACAACTGAGCTCTACCACACGATCTAGACTAAGAAGAAAGAGTGACAGTCCTAAATGCCCTGTAGCCTCCTGCTTATAAGTGTGGTGCACAACACACTCATAAACAAGACTCTACTAGACAGGGCTTGTAGACTCCCTAAGATAGAACTGCTCTGATACCACTTTTGTCACGACCCAACCGATGGGCCGCGACGGGCACCCGGTGCCTTACTCAATCAAGTACCAACATAACATATCTTTCATATCATTCTATCATAGGTAAAAGAATCGGAGTAAAGCATGAGGAAATGCAAATATATACATATGAAGTACGGGCCTATAAGGCCGGCATAACTCGGTATATACTCGAAACATAGGCCGACAAGGCCATACAAGTATCCGTATACATGACATCTGTCTACAAGCTTCTAAGAATACATATATCATAAAGGTCCAGACAGGGTCCCGCCATACCAATCAATACATGTACTAATCATACTGACCAAAGAAGCAACTTCAAAGCAAATGGAGCGCACCAACACCTTTCGTTGAGCTGATAGCCTACTTGGAGGACTCTTGACCTGTCTATCAGGACCTGCGGGCATGAAACGCAGCGTCCCCAGGCAAAAGGGACGTCAGTACAAACAATGTACCGAGTATATAAGGAATGAAAATCAGTAACTAGTAGACATGAGAGAAATATGGAATAAAAGACTCAACATGTATATCTTAATAACTCTGTGAATCATTTAATATTATAATGTCGTGCATATGCATATAAATGTAACACCATGCATGGGTATATGCGTTCATAACATCATCACCTCTGAGGGCATCCCATCATATCATCTCGGCCACTGTGGGCAAATCATCAACGTATACCAGCTGATCAGGTGGTGGTGCGTATATAATGCCATAACCCTTTCCCATATCCCATATACATATATACGCGTATATAACGCCATCTGGTCATGAGTCAATGTACATGAATAAGTACGTCAATAAAATCTCTTGGAATGTCATAAGACCATTATGCCTTTGAGTAATATCATGA